AGGCAGCGTTTTGCAACAAAATTCCTAATAAAAAAAATTGAAACTCTTACTTTAATTTTAACTCTGCCTCACTTTTTATACCCGTACGAACGTATGTTCGAAGGGTATACTAAATTTTCCTTACCGTTTGTAACGCTAAGAAATAACGGTGTTAGATATAGACTCAAGTGTATGTTTTTGATCAGCGTCAAATTCTGAGTTGATTTAACCTTGTCTGTCCGTCTGTCCGTCCCAACGATAACTCAAAAACTAATTGAGTTAAGTTCACCAAATTTTCACAAATGATTTATTGTAGTAAGTGCCAGAACCCTATTTAAATTGGACATGATCGGGGTACTGGTTCGGGTAGCTGCCATACAACATCAAAATTTATTTGGCTATATCTCAGAAACTATAAGAGCTATTGTATTGAAATTTCACACAAACGAATATATTAGTAGGACCAATGTGTCTCATAAAAGTCGTTGAAATTACTTGGCTCCTTCTGATACCTGCCATACAACTTCAAAAGTTATTTGACTATATTTCAGAAACTATTAAAGCTATGGTATTGAAATTTCACACAAACGAATATATTAGTAGGGCCGATGTGCTTGATAAAATTCGCTAAAATTTCTTGGCTCTTTCTGCTAGCTGCCATACAACTTCAACAGTAGTTTGGCACAACCAGTATTTTGAAAAACACATAGTACTGAAATTTTGCATAAATTAATATGGTAATACGGCAACTTAAAGTCATAGTCTGCCCCAGAGTTAGTTATGGCACATTAGTTATTCGCACATAGGATAACAAATTCGTACGGGTATCACAGAGTTGACAAGGTCAACTCTATTTTTTTTCTCGTTAAATCAGAATCTACATTTTCTCCATACAAAAAATTTCTAACAAAAATTATCCATTGCAAAAGTTTGATGCGCGATAGTGTTTATAAAATTTTTACAAATAGAAAAAACTAACTATTGCAAACTCTTTCAAAAAGCAATTTTGAAGAAAAAAAAATAAAGCACGAATCACATAATCTAAAGTGCAACAAGATTAATGCTAGAGTAATGCCATAGTTTGTTTTTGTACTTAAAACCTTACATTTAAAAAACATAGTAAAAGATATCACTTATTTATAAAGGAGGAAAATTGCAATAAATTTTTGTGCTATAAGAAACCTTACTGCCAAATATGATCGCACGTTTCTTTTCTTTTTTCTTATTCATTTTCTTAAATGTTTGAGCAATTTGAGTGCATTTTATTTGTTTTTTTTTTCTTAATTTGCTTTTGATACTTTTTAAAGGAGCATCTTCAGTTTTTGTTTTCTACAAAATGAGTGAGCTACATATAAAGCCCAATATTTACATTTTATGTATATAAGAAAATGTTGTATAATTGTACTGTACAAGTTTTATATGCCTTTAGTACACACCATAGTTAGTTCGCAGATTTAAACAAGTTGAGAAAAATTGTTGGAAAAATGAAAAAAAGAAAATTATATTCCAATGAAAAATGTCACATTGTAAAATTTTTCATTTTTCCACTGAATAAAGAAAAGTTTTCAAAAGTAAAATTAATTACGATTCCCATATATGTATATAAAAACTCATAAGAAGTATTGCATTACATTATATATATATATATATATCTACATGTTTGTTATTTTAATAGTAATGCAATGAAATGCACTGGTGAGCTATGAATTTTTCACACAAATTAATTATTTGTCAGTATCACTTAAATTCTTTAAAACTTTTAAATTGCTTCATTTACCCTTGAGTTTGGGTAATTTTGCTATGAAACAAACTCTTACAAAGTACTTACAATTATTGAAGAGACACGTGAAAGTTCGTGCGAACAATGTTCTTATTTATATTCTGCTTAAATAACGCTTTAATTGAATTAAATGTTATACGTATAGGAGGAGACAACAATAAACCGACAATATTGAAAGTTTTTTAATTAAGGTATATGCTCTTTTTTAATACCGGTGAAATAAATGTTATTTCTGACGCTTAAAATAATTAAGTATAAAAAAAATTTAATATAATTTTGGTGTTATTAAGCTTATTATGATTAGATTGCTGAATATTGCAATAATACGGGATTGCTGGGATTTAGAACTTGGAGTTCAAACGGGTTTATAGACTAAAATTTAGAGTCAGAACTTAAATGAAAGATGTGAAAGATCAGAATTTTTTTTTGTTTAATATGGTCCATATTGAAAAATAAGAGTTATTGTGATCGCATCAAGTTCCACTTGACAAGTTCACGACAAAAATGCTTTTTAAAATGTTATAAAACTGCAAAGAAATTAGTTTTTGAGATCTGTCTGTCTGTTTAAGTCAGCAAAAGGCATATTATATTAGTAGCTTTGGTATGAAGTTCGTAACTAATAGAAGGAGTCGTCTACAGTATGAACAAGTACACACAATTTTATTTAGCATAAAATTTTTTAATGGGTTTAACATATCCGCCTCTCCATCCGTCTCTCCGTACGTTACCACGATAACTTTAAGAAAAAAGAAAAAAATACTATTGCTTCTTTTCTGCCAAAAATTGCTAATGTTGTAGTTAGATCAAATCAAAAAATTGGTACGTGACGTAACTGTCATGTAATTTCAAAAGATTATTTTTAATAATTCAGAAAATAATTGAGGTAACACCATGAAATTTGGTTGGAAAATTTTTATTTAGCTTGCTCACTATTACAGGCTATAATTTTGTCGGTTAAGTTTGTTTCAGTCAAACTAAACTCGTTTTTACTTGCTCGATATAATATTTTTATATTTTAGTTTGATTCTAGAAGCGTAGGATTTAATTTTTGTGCAACATCGTGTTATAAGAACATGACCTTTTTAGGAACAAATTCTTTAGAAGATTATTTCAATCAACTTATCGGTGAAGACGGATTAAAGAAAAAGCTATGTATATCCCATTTTTGTTTCGAATTCTACCTTAAATAAAATCTTCTTGGTTTTGAAATTTAAGTGTTCTTCACAAGACAAGACAAGGAAATTTATCAGAACAGGTATGATATAAGCAATATTCGAAATTCATTTGTAATTACCTTAGTCCAATTTAAAATCAGTTGAAATCTGATTATTTTCAAATACCTGTTAAAATTTCTTCTTTTAACAAGGGACTTTTAACCACACTTAACAATTGAGTTTCGTAATTGAAAATTTCAGCTCTGTAATCAAGTTCCACTATAAGTTCTTAAGTATGAACTGTATTTTTTTTAAGATTTTCCTCCCGCTTGTTAATTGCAGTATTAATAATCATCACAGCTAATATTTTCCACCATTTGTTAACGACATACAAACATCGAACAAAAATGTTTCACATAAACTACAAGAAAAATAATTATGAAAACCTCATAATAATTTTCAACTCATGGAAAATTCATTTTCATTTTCTCTTAAAAAGTATTAAACAATTTTTAAAAACACTTATACAGAAATAATTAATTACTGGTTTAGGATTATAGCAGTTTTACATTTTATCTCATACAAAACGTCTACAGTAGAAAGTTTAAAAAATGTGATTTACTTGCTTTATTAGCAAGTAATTTTCTGGACATCTCTCTAAATTGGTGAATACTTAATTTAAATTCTGGTTTATTTCTCATTAACTAAATAAAATATGAATCATAAAATTTGCATTAAATATCCGGTTCAATGTATTTCATAGATAAGGTGGTGTGTTGACAGGGATATTTTGAAGCAAGGAGGAGTTGAATAAAAATATTAACACTCGTTTACATAGTTTTTCATTATTTTAGTTTGTTGTTAATTATTTTTTATGCGATTATAAAGTTTGTTTTTGAATTTTTCAAATAGCATTCGCAGTAATGTGAATTTTGAAATTCGAATTGCGATAAATTCAGTATTATAAGGCACCTTATCGTTGATACAAAATTGATTTGCGGTAACCACATAAATTACAGGTTCCGAAATTAAAGTTAAAATTTGAAAATGAAGAAAACAATATATACCGTTGGTAATTGTTTCGTCAAACATAGAAGCTGATACATATATATATGCAACTCTAAAGATCCTTTTCACCGAAAAAATTTTGCCTTATACTCTTTTTGATATAACGTTAATACCCAAGTACATTGTATGCAACAATACAATATAGTAACTTTTATTAAAGCAATTTTCAAAAAGTGTGTCTTGTACGAAAATATTACGTTTGAGAGTTCAAATTGATTGTTTTACTATTAAGCAGGATGATTCAGTTTAAGTTTTAATTGCATTGCATTCCTTAATTTGAATAATTTGAGTTCATGAAAACTATTATAACAGTTAACGTTGAATTGAAATTAAGGAATTGAAAATTATCCAGATTGATACAGGACGTTTGTAAGAAAAATTTTAAGTTTCACCTATAAAATGGGCAAAATTAAGTCATTGTTGATGCAGATCTTTATTATCAAGATTGGTATAGGACAATTTTAAAAAGAATGTTAGTTTCATCTTGATATAAGAAGAGTCAAAATTATCTTGATTTGAAGAAAGTTACATATATTATTGAGCCGAAAATCAAACTCCAAATTATTAACAGGTCGGCATTTATATTTTAGACCGAGAACCAAGAGTTTTACGAGGAAAAACAAGTCTTGATATGTAAGGCGTTATTCCTTAAAATGTGTTCTCCGCCTGGTTCTAATGACTGGAACCAAGTGCTTCTAATACTATACAGTTGTTTAAGCTTAAATAATTTATTTCTTACACAAACTTTTAAGTTTTTTAATTTCTTTATTTTTTTTTTTTGAAAATTTTAAAGTTTCATTTTTTTTCAATTTCTTATATAAAATGAATGTAAGGCAACAATAAATAACAACTTAAAATATAAAATGTATAACTAAAGTCTGTACATATTTTCAAAAATAAATTTTCATAAGCTACATAAACTTAAAAACAAATAAACAGAAAATATTTTATAATATATACACTTGCTTTTGGCATCGTACAGCGCCAAAAGGATAATAAAAATCAATGTAAACAAAATAACAAGCATAACAGTAAAAAAAAAAAAATTCCTATCTATTTTACATTATCATTTCTGTTATTGATTCTATTTAATTATTTTATTTATTAACGGACTTCCTTTTTATTATTTCTGAACTCGGTGTAACCTTGATAAGCTATATCTTGTGCATGAACAGCATTATCATCACCAAAACGTACACCACCGCCAGCATTTAAATTATTATTATTAATATTATTACTTACAACAAAACCACCATTTTGTTGATGTTGCTGTTGTTGTTGATTAATATTAGCATTTTTACTATAATATTCAGTATAAGGTTTTGAAAAGAATGTTGGTTCTTCTTTATATGTACTATAAGGATTTCCATGAAAACCACTATGATAATGTGAATGATGATAACTAGCACCACCTAAACCTTGTGATGAATATTCTTGAAATGGATGAATTGATGGTGCTGATGAAAATAATCCACCAAAATTATTTCCACCAAATATACTATTACCACCGTTATTAAAACCATTTTGTGGTGCACAGAATTTTAAATATGCAAATAATCCAGGTAAAATAATTGCAGCAATACTTAAAACTTTCTTTAAACCAACCAAACCCAAAATGAATGGTAAAAATAATAAAAGTTTTAGTTTGAAAATTTTTAAAACAAGTAAAAGTGGTATAAATAATTTTTTGAGACGATGACGTTCTGTAAAATAATATAAAAATTTATAATGATATTATTTTTGTATAACAATATTGAAATCTGCGTATAACAATAATTTATTATGAAATTAAAAGTAAAATATAAGTGTAGATATTACTTGAAATAAAAACTTACTGAATGATGGAGCATGTTTATCTTCAATGACATCAATTTCACCGGCAATATCATCAATAAATCTTGGTGCAAAACGTCCTTCTGCTAATATATCTTGTGGTATATCGATTTCTAAAGCAGCTGATTTAATAAATCTGTTATACAAAAAAAATTAAATGAAAATCGTTTAGTATAAATTTAAAATTTTTGCAGTATGGCAATGCTAATACGAATAATATTTATATTCATAAATTAATGAATACTGGTAACTAATATTAAAATAGAATGTTCTGAATATACATATTTTAATTCTAATAATATTTTTTTATTAAATGAATGTTTGACTGATTTGTAAATTATTTGAAAGTTAAAAGTCTAATTTTATACGCCAGTTAGGACCACATAAAGTTTTTAACCTATGCTATAAAAGGACTCCAAATTGATATTTGGATATTTGCATCTTCGCTTTTTGTCCTAAACATTATCCCAAAATTATAAGTTTCCAAACGCTCTATGGGATCTTAAACAACGAGTTATCTGTTATTTTTCAGAAAAATTTTCAACGACTGAATTTTCGAATACATACCAACGATCAAAGAAGTTATCATTTCCATTAAAAATCTTGGTTACTGCTTGTTTACAGTTACTCACTCACACCTTCAAATAATTCATTTTTTCAAATAATTCTCGGATTTGCTTTTTTGTTTGAAGATCTGTGCTGCCTCTTAATCAGCACGTTATCGAAACGAGAACCGCGAGTTAGGAAATTGAATTTTTTATTTATAAATGTTAATACGTATCGAAGGACCATCATATTTATATGTTCCGAAAAATCGTGAGTAATTTATTCTTTCTGTAAGATTATAAGTATTTTTACTGTAAAAAATAAAATAACTAATGAAGATTTTCCCCGGTAAACTATTGCTAAAATCGATATACATAATACAAATATACAAGCTTCAATCATGCATGAATCAAATATTGTACAGTTTTCTCTGTACCTGTCTTTAGCTAGCGTGAACCGATTTCTGTATGTATTCTGCAAAATAATCTAAATTTCACATATTTATCAAAAATAGATTTAGAGAAAATCATAAAAGAATATTCAATTTATGGTCAGCAAAAATTAGGCTGTGTTGAAAATTCAAAACCTTCAGAAACTTCTGTATCTTAACAACTTAGATAATTTCTTACAATTCAGCAAAAAATTTAAAAAGAGCTTTAAAAATTCCATTCAATTAAGCACCCGACAATAATCATTTTTAAAATTATATTAAAGAAAATTTTTTTAATTGAAATTGAAAAATGGAAGTCGTAATTTCTTTTATACCACAAACATTTAATTGCGGAATATAAGAACCACATGAATCTATCCAATTTTGTATTTTTTATTATAGCAAACAAAGAAGACACTTTCATTATGAAAAAAAACTCCCATAATATGCGTCTTATGTTTCTTATTCGGCATAATTTATTTTCTTTACAATATTTTTATGTATGTACGTATGCACATAGAATCGTATACTTGAATTTTATAAAATCTGTGATTCAAATTATACGCATATATGTATATACTTTTGTGTGTATAGTTTTGTGGAATGGTTCGGGTTATATTCATTATAATAATGCTTATTTTGATACACTATAACAAGAAAAAACAAGAGCAAGAAAAGTCTAATAAAATTTCTGAGAGAGTCTATGGTTAAATTGTAATGCAAATTTCTTGTAACTCTTCCATGTCATCGTTGTCATTGCAGTATAATATTCATTATTCAATACATGTGTGTTATATATATACACATAATATTATAATTTTATGCTTATATACCACCATCGTACTTAACTTCAATTAATCCAATGAAATATTATTCACTTGCTGAACTTGTTGATTATAGAGATTATTAAAAAATCTTAAACTGACATAATAATGATTATAGCTGGGATAATGAACTTTTATTAAAAATGTACAATTTATTTTGTAAAATATGTTTAAACAGGAATCTATTTATTATATGTGTGTAAGTATAGTTTCGCTGCATTATTTGTGGCATATGTATGAAAAAACTAGCATTTTAATTTCTTTCAGTAATTTTTTGCACATATTTCTGAGTATTTTAAGAAAATATAATTTACTTAATGACATTCCATAGAATGTTAAAGAAAATTGCATTCCATAAAAAATTTTAAACAATATACCAGACAACTATAAGAACACTTAACCAAAAAATATGTGTTCTAACGATTATCAGGGGCCAATTACTATGTATGTAATACGATTTTCGTGTTAAACGATTTCCGTATTCCGAAAAATGGTAAGACAGTACCAATAAATTTGTTTGGTACTATCTTTCCATTCCTACATAGTAATCGAATTGCATAGTAAGACCTCAGGACTTATTTTCGCATTTTGAGGAAATGTCAAGAAAAATTAATCACCAAAAAGTGATTTAGTTTAGATTTTTTACCCAAATATTAGATTAAAAATCTTATTGTTATTGAATAACCGTTTTCGATGTTTAATCGAAAGATTAATAAATTGGAAGCCTATCATTATTTAATTTATTAAATAATGATAGGCTTCCAATTTATAATTTGTAATCGTCAGTTTTTCGGTGGAATATATTTTATTAAATTCACTTGAAACATGTAGTTTAAAACTATTTATTTATAAAATTCAATGTTATTCTTAATTCTTCAATCCAACATTTAAAATCGTGAATCAAAATTAAATTTCAAGAGAAAATCTTTGAATTTCAATGCCACAACATTTACATTATTAGATTGCCTGAAGTTCAATAAATATGGAAATTTTTTGGATTAAAAATGAACTATATTAATGGTTCTTGATTTCTAAATTTGTAAATTTTCTAATGTGCACTTTATACGAATCTGCTTGCATGTATGACTCAAAAAAAAATAATATTGATTTCTCAAGGGTATATATGATGAAGCATTAACATTATTTGTGGATTATTTATGATTTTGTATTTTTCGTAGCAAGGAATGATGAATATTTGCATCACATTCGTTCAGTAATTTCATATTTCATTGATTGAAATTTTTTATGAAAAATCTAAAATGTTTTCTTTTTTAAAAAAGTGTACAGAAGATTTTATTAAATTTGCATTTGTAAGCACTGTTGATGCAATGAAGTGACGATATTCACCACAACCATCATGATTTTAATTAACTATTATATTGAAATGTTTTTAATCAAATGATTAATAATTGGACGAAAATCTGATGGAACACTTATGAAAATATACAAAAAATTTCAAACTCAACTATTTTTATAGTTTTAAACATTCGATTCACTTTGAGGATCAAGTATTAGTGCGATTTCAAATAAAAAAAATATGAAATATTTTAAAAATATTGTAAAACTTACTTCTCAGCTCGTCTCAACGCATATTTAACTAATTGATCCCATTCTGTATCTGTAGCTCTTGGTTCTATTGAAAATTCATATGGTTCCGAAAATAAGGCACGTTGTTCACTTTCTGATGATCTAACAACTCTAGCAAATTCAGTTAATCTAAAAAAAAATTTCAAAATAATTCCATGTTAATTTATAAATTCTGCAGGGAATAATATTGTCCATATAATTAGAACTTACTTGTATGAATCTCTAAAGAATATTTGATCAAAATTGCTTAAGGCATGACTTTTAAAGCATTCTGATAGATCGCCATTTAAACAATTTCCATTTGTTTTAGCAACATATGGATCAACGTTTGGTCCTGTACCTAATCCAACAAGATCTAATAAATTTTTGCCTTGTCGACGACCTTCACCAATAACAACTGATGGTGGTGTTATTCCAAGTTCTTGCTGTTGAATTCCATTATTTTGTTGTTGTAAAAATATTTGTGATTGCTGTTGTTGTTGTTGAAGTTGTTGTTGTTGCAGTTGTTGTTGTTGCAGTTGTTGTTGCTGCTGTTGCTGATTATGTTCTTGTGTTTGATCTGGTAATCTAATTCCATCTCCATCTGATGACTTAAATGTTAAAAATGCGACAATTAGGAATACCCACATGAATTTGTTTTTCAAATCCATTTCTAAAAGAAAAAAAAATAAAATGTAAACAAAACAAACGTGAGATACCATAGATCTTGTGGTTAGAGAAATGTTATGATTTGCTGTCATAAATAATAAAAATTATGAATGAAAATTCTTTTGATAGTAGTTTTGAATGTTCGTGTGAAATATTGCACTTTCATTTTCTTTTGGTTGACCAAGCAGAGCGATTTTTTTTTTTCAATTAATTATGCATTACATAAGTTGTAAATCTAGTGGCTATACTTTTCTCACGTCGTTTTCATTTCGAATTGCACAAATAATTTTTATTTTCTGATGGGAAACACTTACATATCGTCGGTTAAAAAGCAGAAAGTACGAAGAAGAAGAAAAATGCATTTTTTGAGATTTTCAGTTATCCACATGGACTAAATTAAAAAAACATAATATTTTTTGTGACAAAAAATCATACAAGTTTCGAATACAGTTTATAAATTATAGACGCCATTTGAATATTGCACTAATTAAAGTTACCGATAGTTAAGTTAAAAATTCTGATTCAGTATACTTTCTCCCTCTTAACAGACGATATTAAGTGTTGTTTTTGTACAGTGTAATGATAAGTAATATAGTTTGTTCAAGGATTTTCAATTTAAAAACTCAAATACATGGAATAACATTATTATTTTTTCGAAAAGGATTTTTAGATGTGATTATGTTACATTTTAATTCAGTAGTTTTCATTTTGGTTGCTAATTGTTGATAATATTAGAATGTTATAAGACCTGAAACTTAAAACAAGCTGATTAACTGTATTAGCAATTTATTTTCGAAATTAAAAAAACGCCACTTGAAAATTAGATGTTTACGAATTGTGAATTGTATTTGACTATGTTCTTCTGAATTATGGTTTCTTTTTCCAAAATTAAATCTGGGCTGGATACAAAAAGTTTCTTTTTAACAATAAGTATTCATATCTAAGCATATTTTTATATGCATAACTTGCGTGTATATATTATTTAGGATAGGATATGATTTAATAATTTTTGGTTAGTACACACCTAAATCAATATTTTTTGCCATATGCAATTAAAATTTTACAATCCAGTAAATTAATCCAGCAATTTTATCTGGACTATCATTATCCAGTAATCTAAACTATCAGTATCAGAATATTAACTGGCATAGAGAGTATTTTATAGTATTAGAATTTTTGGAAAATTAACGACTTTGTGAAATTGTAAAACAGCAGCCATGCTTTACTTGCAAAATGTAATGACAATAAATTAGCAAGTTTTTGTCGTAAATTATTTTAATACATATTGATTTTTTCAGAAAGACTAATATTTATCTAGAAGTTCCCTATACTTATATAAGTAAAGGCTTATTCTTCGGGGACAATAATCATGTCACATTTACGTGATAGCTATTTAGAAATGACCAAAATGTAAAAATATTTTGCCTATTTGCATAACACCTTAAACTATGGTGTTAAGTTACCTAAGAAATACATTTATTTGGCACATATCACGTTAATTGAGAATACCTATAAAGCTTAAATTCTGAAAGCAAGCTTAAATTTTTCTGACAAATTTTAAGTACCAACAATATTAATTTTTCATAACAAAATAATTTAAAAGTTTGGCAAATACCAACTATTTTACAAACGAAATAGTGGTTATTTGAAAAACAGATTTTGAACAGATTTCCTTAAAAAATTGTACGTGATTCTCGTATCTTCAATATTCACAAAAAATGTGGTTAAATTTAAGCATATTAACTAAAATATTGTCTATTTTCAAATTCAAATCAATATGCTCTGTTATACCAAGAGGTGATTGCACTTTTTAATAAAAATAGTGAAATTTAACAAAAAACTGTATACCTATGTATATACCAATATATTTATATTATGTATGTGTTAATATTTCAATTATAAACGGATTTATTCAATAAAATATTCAAAACCAAATTCAATTTTTGAATATTGGAGAAATTTTAAAGCGCCTCCCAAGGTTATTTATCTATTTTGAATTTTTTTTTTCTTTACCTTCTTTGTTTGCCTTTTCTTTTCTTAAATAATGTTCGTAAAAATATTTATTTTCTTTACATTTTTAACTATATATTATGTATATAAATACATATATACTTATATTATAATAGGAAACTATATGTACTAGCATTAGTTAAGAAAATAGCGCTTTTATTATCACCTTAACTCTCACTTTCTATAAAAAAAATTTTTGGCAAAACCGCCAATATAACAAAATTACAAAAATATAAATAAATTTTTTTTTATTATAACACAATCTTAAAAACTACATAAGATTGGTAGGCACTTTATAACTTTTAAATATTATTCATGTTTTGGCTGTTTGGAAATTGATTGTCATCAATAACATTATTTAAAAAATAAATTTTAAAGTTAACACACTTCAACACACTTTCTATTATAACCAAATTAAAGTAGAAAATGAAAAAATAAAAAAAAAATCAATATTAATTTTTTTTTTTCCATTAAAATACAAAGAATTTCAATGATTTTCTTTTTTTTTTTACTGTTATTATTAATATTGTTATAACTTATGTTGACATTTGAACTACAATACATATACATACATAGTAATGTAGAAATTGATTTTCTCTCCTTCTTAATTTATAAATATTGTGATGTGCGTTTATAAAACTAATAAAAAAAATTTTTTTTAAATAAAAACTTTTATGAACTCGAGAAACTTGATCGATATTGCCATAATTATTACGCTATTTCTCTCACCTTACCTCACTCAAATGCGTGTTTACGCATTCCTAGGATACATGCGTAGGTTTAAGCTAACATTTTTTTCACATAACATTAAAATCATCATGTGCACACTATGTAATGTTAAAGTTGAGCAAATCTTTTATAATATTTTATTAATCAACTTTATTAATTATAATTTTTATTTAGCTATATTTTAAATTTTAAAAATTAAATCATCAATAATCAGCGAATTCAATGCAGCTTTTATTAAATCACCCAATATTTTCTATACTTCGATTTTCAATCATTTCTTTAGTTAGTAAACACCTACATATTAAAAATATTTTAGTATTTTGTTTATAACACTTATCCAAATGTAATAAAGTGCATGCATTAACAATATGTGAATAAAACTGCCATTACCTCTTTATTATAATTACATATGTATTGCTTGGTAGCACTGAACTTGAATTTTTATCAACACTTTATTTATTACTACACTCTTATTAATTTATTTTTAACATTGTTATAATATGGTAGCTTTTTTGCAAAGTATTCGATTATTATATATAATATATGTATATATATAAAATTATAAAATATCAACTAATTTATAATAAAAAAAAACTGCAAGAAAAGTGGCTACAAAAAAAATATAAAAATAAAAACGCTATAAACTAACCTTAAGTCTAAAACACTAGACATGGCTCAATTGAATGAAACATGAAATCGAAGAAAAATAACAAAAAAAAAATTAATTTTCAATAATGGCGATGAAAATAAAAACAAACAAAATTTTATTTTGACTGCATCCCAAACTAAAAATTAAAATATAAAATAAATACTTTTTGTTAAATCTCTAAGATGCCGCCAAACTATAGGATTTAAAAATTTCAACTGATTCAAATTCATTGGAACAACTTTTTAGTTTAAAGCAATAAGGTGCTATAACATGAGAGTGACTAAAAATATCGCGATAATGTAATTAAACATTATGATCGGAATTCCAATACCTTGGAATAGGTTCACCAATTTGAATTTTAAATAAATTTTTATAATTGAATGTGTATTAGTTTAAGAAGTACCTCTATACACTGATCTTCGCATTCAAAAATTGTCGTATATTTACGAAAAAAGTGAAAAAAAGTGTTTACCTACTCAACAAATTCCCTAATGCAGAAAAATTAATAATTTATTTCTTATGCATTTTGAAAACAGAAAACTTATAAGATTGTTATAACTTTCAAAGAGGTTTAATTTTTTTTTTCAACTTTTTAAGCTATAATACACACCTAATTGAAATGTAAACCCGATTTCGTTTCATTTAAGCTTATTTTATAGTTTTTAATTATAAGACACTAAAAGGGAGCAAAAATAAAATTAAATAAAAAATATTGTTTTGGATTGAGAATTGAAAATGTATGAAATAACAGTGCGATGCAAACTAAAGAAGCGAAAATTGAGTAGCACCTTAAAATGGAAATTCAATATGAGTTATAAAATTGAAGAACACTCTAGATACACCACCACTATAATATCTAAATAATTGCAAATAAGTTGTAATATCCATGATGCGATTAAAGTAAATCGGTAAGAGAACAGTGTTTCACATTATTATGTACAAGATCCGATCACCGACAAAATGTAAGTCTTGCAATACCTACATACATATATGCAAATTTGTGTGAAATAAAAGTAAAAATAAGCTCAATATGTATTTTATTTTAATCTCTGTACATATTATGTCCGAGAAAGCACATACTTTGCATAGTTTGGAACAAAGTATTTTTGTATTTAATTTTTATAAAATCCTACAACCATATATTTATTTTTAAACGTATTAAAAGCTTTTAACAAAATATTTAAAAGAAAATATGAATGAATAAATTGTTTGGTATAGAAAATAATATTGTTTCCATTAATATGGTAGGTTTCATGCATAGCATAATGTAATATCTATATTTTATACAATACAAAATCTTAAGCTGCTATGAAGACTAACAAGAAATATTTTTTGGGTGGTGGAAAAAATAACATGATTATAGAGATAAAATTTTCATGTAAGAGAAGAGAAAGCTTCAGATATACATATATGTGCATATAATATGTCTATAATTGTAAAAAATATCGATTTATAGTAAAAATAATGAATGATTTATGAACATGTTATGTACAACTCCTATGAACTTATAAAAGTTCATTGCTAAACTGTGGTAATAAAAAAAAATAAATTTCTAAAATTGCAAAATTCAAAAAAAAAAAAATATTCATTTGGTATTTTTTTCGTTTTCATTTTAAATGAAATTTTTAGATTTTATTCAAGCAAACAGCAATTTAAATTGCTGGTTTTTAAATACATACATATATGTACATAAACGTCATATTTTTCTTCATAATAGTTATGTAATGTAAATAAAATTTTCTAAAAATTAACATGTGTGTTGAATACGATTTTTTTGAATGTAATTTTATTATTGAATCATACATGAAGAGAAATGGTTTTGAAATATTTGAAGAGGATGTAAGAATATTCTTCCTTTATGAATATTTTGGAGAATTGACAAAATAATAGTAGATTGATAAATTGAGAAATTTTAAAATATACGAAAAAAAATTTATGAAGTGCTTCATTTTGGGTCAAACAGTCTAAAATAGTTACCATACGAACGTAGCTATTTATTGTTTTTACAAATTAATTATTTTGTTTGTAGCGTTGAAAAATATAGAGTACATACGAAATTTAATATTTGTATACAGCGGCGAATTTGTATAGGGCGGAAATCGTTGAAATAAAATTTGGCAACTGTTCGAATTCATATATCTGAATTGAATTCCGAATTTGAGCATTAAAACCAAAATGCTCAAATTTCACAAGAACAAGGGCAAAATGCTGAAAAATGGAAATAAAATAGCTCAAAAGGGACAAAAGCTAAGTGAATTTCAAAAGTTTAATAAAGAAATCCCACTTTTTGTCTCTATTAGATTTAAGGGCGAACTATGAGTTTCTATTTACATTAAATCACTTTTCTAGTTTTTATTTTAAAATTTTTTTCTTGTGATCTCTTGGTACAATTGAATTATTTCGATTTGGTATACTTATAGAAATTCATAATTGACTCTGTAACCTTAAAATTTACTATAAAATAGACTTTAAAAGCTAAACTTCTAAAAATAAATATTTGAATAGTAAAGGTTATGTTATAAAATTTTGTTTTAATTTTTTGACTGATTTCTTCAAATAGAAAACCCTTGCAGAAATGTGGTAGCTGATAAAAAGAGAATTAAGAGTAAATTAATTTAAGCTATGCACACTGAATTTAAATTCTTTGATTTCCTTAATAAGAGACAATTCAATACTTCAATACTAATGCTACCAAAATTCTTAAAATTGATTAAATTAAAATATTACAAATACATAAAACTACTGTTTAAAATCGCTGTGCGTAAGCAATTTTTATTCACAATGCAAATAATTCACAAATATTTAAATTTATATAATTTTTCGTATTCTGGCGTTATGCAATAAAAACATTGTCCCCGAAAAGTATGCAATTTTTTTTTTTAATTTTCTGTTATATTTTATCCTCAATCACAGCAAATTAATATTTCTATTTTTTGTTGTACTAAATAAAAACTTCGGTGCTAAAAAAAATACTAACTGACTAGCTATGGAATTTTTATTTGAAATTTGAATTATTCGACAGTTGAAGTAATTGTTTTATCGAAAATTGTGTACTGTCAAATTGTCTATTTAAATTCATTTCTACATTTGAGTATTATACGAGTATTACAAATATAATTTGTGAATGTAGGCTTTCGACTTACTTATTGAGTTTGATTGAAAACAAAATTAAATATACGATTTACATGCTTACAGTGGAAAGTGTATAAATTTTATTCAATTATTTATTATTAACTATTGTAGGCAGATATGCTACAATCTCTTTACGAAATAGACCGAAATAGTACAAAATAGTGACACAGGATATTCTGGCATTTTGTTGATTGCAATATTATATATATATCTAGATGTGAGGGAAATACAATGGACTTGAAAATTTTTCAACTCGCTATAGTCTGGAAACTATTATAGGTACTGAGTCAGAAAGAAAACTTAAGACTTTAAAACCACACGTTTCGTATGAAAAAAATGTTTTACCAATCAGCCTATATGACCATTTATGGGACATCAAGAAAATGTGCGCTTTACAGTTCGAAGCCACAACAACACAGGACACGCTGGTTTAGCACTGTAAGTGAAGTACCACTGTGTTTAACTGATAAAAACAACTGTTTTTTGCAATATTATGAAAAAAGGCAGTGTTCAAGAATATTAAAATTTGAATAAATTAATATTATTTGCAAGCTTTTACAGATTTCTTACCATAACCGAATATTTAAAAATTTTTAAAACCAAAATTCTCCTCCGAAAGGGTTAAACATAAATTTAAATTGTGCTTTAACATTAAAAGTGAATTTCCTTGTCATGTTGAATTTGAGAGTATTTCAATAGAAAATCAGTGAAAAATTGTAAGGTTTTTATATTATGAAAATTTGATCTGTTTCATTATACTTTTCAGGTCTGTTAAAGTTTTTATAATTTAAAAAAAAAAACTTTAAATCCTAAAATATTGAAAAAAGAAAATTCTTTTTGATAACAAAAGTTTTAACATTTAAAACCTAGGCAACAATTTTTTAATATTCGTAATTAAATTTTATAGCTACTTAAAAACTTTTTACTTAGAAGATGTCCTTATAAAACTTTTCCAAATCGGAAAATATTATTAAAAAAATAAAAAAAGTTTATGCTTCTTTAAAAATTGTTAAAGGATATAAAATCATTTGTGCATAATTTTATCACATTACGCATTATTAAAGAATTTTTAAGAAAAATACCTAATATCACATATAAATT